TAGGTTGATAAACAGCCAAGCATTCTTTGTCTTCCAGAGCCACCAAAGAATATAGGTTGATAAGCTAATTCTATCTTTGAGGCTTCCAGTCAAAGGCTTGCTGCATAGCTCTCCCCACCACAGTCTGAAAGATATGTTGTTCTCTTCAAGTCTGCTCCACTCGACACCACTCAATTTCCAAACAAGCTTAGCTCTGGTACAATTAAACAGAATATGATCTAGATCTTCAGCACCATTACCACAAAGAGAGCAGATTGCATCCACCACCATCTTTCTCTTCAGCAACTGATCATTAGTACTATTAGTACTGAGAAATTTGTTCCAGCACCTCCACAAGAAATGTTTAAGTTTATTTTTGATTGGGAGGTGCCAAATGACATTCCACAATCTAGATGCTGAGAAAGGGAAAATTTCAAAACTAGTCCCACAGGTATAGGGGGGTGACATTTTTGGTCCCAACGGAATTCAAAAAATATTAATAGTCCCGCAGCTTTTGAAAAATAATCAAAAGTAGGACTTTTTCCAATTTTCCGGCCTGGAATGCCACGTCGCACATACGTGGCGGGACTATTTAAGATTTTATGGATTCTTTTGGGACCAAAAATGTCACCTCCTAAAACCTGTGGGACTAGTTTTGATTTTTTTTCCTTGCCATTGTACTCAGCCACGTCAGATGAATGTGGCCACGTGGCATTCCGGGCCGGAAAATTAAAAAAAGTCCTACTTTTGATCATTTTTTAAAAGCTGCGGGACTATTAATATTTTCTGGATTTCGTTGGGACCAAAAATGTCACCCCCTATACATGTGGGACTAATTTTGAATTTTTCCCTGCTGAGAAAGCCTGAGTGCTAGAACCAGCTTCACCCCCAGAGCTCAAGGCTCTATTCATAAAAAATCATAAGCAGATTTCACACTAAGGGAGCCAAATTTCCCATAATGCCATATCATTTTATCCTTTCTACCTGTGCAAGAAATGGGAATTTGCAATATCTGCTCTGCTTCATCAGGAAGGAAAATTTGCCTAACTAGCTCTCTGTCCCACCTATTACTCCCCTCAAGCATCAAATCCCTCACAATGGACAACTCATTTTTATATTCAGGGCTACAACAGACAAGTTTGAAATAAGGTGGTTTAGGCAACCAAGGGTGATCCCATATAGAAATACTGTGGCCATCCCCAACCAGGTACCTAACCCCTAAGTTCAACACAGGCAAAACTCCAACTCAACTATTCCACAGCCAAGACCCCCCTTAGACTTCTTAGCATTGAGAACACACTCATTATGAAAATATCTGCCCCTCAACACCTTAGAGATAAGCAAATTAGGGTTAGTAGCAATTCTCCACAATTGTTTAAGCAAAAGGGCATCATTAAAGATTCTAATATTTCTAAATCCTAATCCACCCTTAGCTTTGGGCTTGGCCAACACCTCCCAACATGCCCAATGAATTCTATCACCCCCAGCTTCACTCCTTCCACACCAAAAAGAGGCCACCAATCTACAAATATCCTTGCAAATACCAGCTGGAAGTTTAAAGCAGGACATCACATAGGTAGAGAGGGATTCAATGATGGATCTGATAAGCACCTCCCTACCTGCCTCACCGAGGAAATTGTTCTTCCAGTTAGCAAGTCTATTCATCACACACTCAACAACATATTTAAAGGTATTATTCTTAGAAACTCCTATCCCTAGAGGCAGTCCCAGGTACTTGGAGGAAGTGACACACTGAATACCATTTAAAATGTTGCAGATGACAGATTTTGAACAACCAGGGGTATTCTTAGAGAAAATAATGGAAGATTTGGACATATTCACACTTTGCCCAGAGGCTGATTTATAGGAATCCAAGATAGAAGCAATTAATCTAGCATGGTAAGGATTAGCTTTACAAAACAAGATAGTATCATCAGCAAAAAGAAGATGAGAGACAGGAGGAGAAAATTTATTGATTTTAATACCAGAGTAATTATAGAAAAGACATGCTTGCACTACCAAACTAGAGAGGGCTTCAGAGAAAATAATGAACAAGTATGGAGAGATAGGATCTCCTTGCCTAATACCTCTAGAAGGTCTGACAA